GACTAGATTGCTCGATTTGGAACAAAACATCCCATGCTTGTTTTTCGAAAATGGTTTGAAGTTGCTACTCGCAAGTAGGCTAAGACGCGGATTTTGCCACCAAACAAGGTGGGCTTAAAACATGATGACTTTCCACTTCAAGTGGGCTTAAAACTCACATTTTGATGAATTATTCCAACTCAAGCAATGAAGCCTTCATCCACAGGCATTCATGCAGTTATATGATTTAAGCCAATAGTCTCATGGCAAGCATGCTATCATGGCAATCACTTACATACATGCAAGGATGCTAAAGCGTAAGCACTCACAGTGTACTCTGAGCCAAAAAAGAACCTAGTTAGAAATCATGCATGATCCTAGCTATGTCAACAATGCCTAATGCAACACATGCAAAAATGCAATTAAGATAGGCCCGGTTGTTCTAAGATGTCATGTGAATGCAACTTGATAACATGTATTCAAATAGATATTGAAATACAATGTAGTTTGTATGAAGCGCCGAGCCCGATGCATGCAAAACAGATGAATGATGCACGCATGCGAAGCATCAGGATGCTAATTGAAAATGACCCTAAACTAACCATCGAAAGCGGTTAAGTAAAAGGGAGAAAGAAATGGGGATTAGAAGACATGCATCACACACGCGCACACTTATTACAACAATACCCCCTCTCGCAGGAGGGTCCGAATAAAATGAAAGCTAACTAGCTAATCTAAGCTAATTAAACTAACTATTAGAAACCAACTAATTAACTAACTATTCTAGCTAATTAATTATTACAACACAAATTGATTACTTAAGCGCATTAACTAATTAAGTACAAAACCAAAGCATTCGCTAGCTAAGCAAAGGAGCTAAGTAAAGCAATAAAAAGAAGTCCTCGGGGCGAGGGGTACATGCATGCTCGGTCGCCTTGTTCAGAAATTCATTACTATGTCCCAACTTGCCTCTGTTTGCATTTGATCTTAGGATGGTGTACAAACCTCTAGATAGCTTCTACTCCAACATAGAGACCTCCAGGAAGGTTGCCGACCAGAAAATGGTGGTGTAGACCACCTGTAGACCACTTAAATATGCTGCAGACTAGAAAAAGTGGTCGCCCAACCACTTTTACTGGTCTGTCGACCAGAAAATCCTGCCAAGCTCCAATTTGCTGCAACAGAGAACAAGAAGGGGCACAGCAGTGTATTTGCAAGGTATGTGTGCACAATCACCCTCCCTATTATTTCTTAAGCTCAAGGGAGTGTGGTTGTCGACTCTCGGGCCACCAACCGGGCATCGCAATGCACGATGGCCGAGAAGCCTAGTTTGCACAATTCAACGCCAATGAATGCACAAATTACACCTAAGAGCCTTAACCTCTATCATGCTTGATCAAGAGGGTCGGCGACCGAGAAATGAGGCACATTTCATCACTTCAAGTATGAAACGTCCCTCGTTTCTCGTGTTTGGGTCAACGCCCGATACAAACACAATGCAATGCAACATGATCAACCTATCAATGCTAATGGCATGCAAACACAATGCAATGCGACAACATGCAAATGACATGCAATGCAACAACATGCAAACAACATGCTATTCTACCAATGCTAGAATGGCATGCACAAGATTCTATCATGCAAACAATGCATGCATGGCATATTTGGAGACTAAAACATCAAAGCAAGTATAGAGCACCATACAAGAGGCATGCAATACAATGCTCAATGGACTTAAACCGAATATGGACAGACCTAAATCATGCCAAAATAGTGGCCAAAATACTCTGAAATGATGGCATGAAAAGCAAGATAATGCATGCACATGCATTGGCCCATCAACTAAGCATAAGAGCACAACTCTCAAACAGGATCAGGAAGTGGCAAACATGGAAGTGTGACAACACTATATGCTCTGAAATCAGGTGTGAAATGATGCCAAATCATCTAAACAACACAAGCATAGCATGCTAGAAGGCCTAAGGCACAAGACTACCAAAAGGGACTACACAAGAGGCATGCAATACGTGGCACAAATGATTGAACCAACCATAGATAGAGCTCAATTAGGTCAAAACAAAGACCAAAACATGCTAAGATGGGAGCTCAAAAGTCTAGGCGCTGAGATGGGAGCTCAAAAGTCTAGGCATGCATGCATACAAGTTAGGCCATAAGCGAGGCACAAAGGCATAACCCTTAAAAGCACTCAAAGAGTGAAAGAAGTGAGAACATGGCAATGCTATATGCTCTGAAATACATGTTAAATGATCCAAATCAGCACATTCACAAATGAGAGCTAGGAGGCTCAAGCGAAAACTAGCATAGGCACTTGCACATAGCTATAGCAAAGTGTGGATCACTCCGAACGTTTAGTCAAGTCCATATAAATATTTAATATTATATAATAATTATGGTTGCACGTAATATGGTTGCCACGTGATGATAGAATGAAATAAATGCTATATAATCTAAATGGCATTGGTTATTAATTAGGGATTATATTTGAGCTAAATATAAAATTTATAATACAAATTAAATTAAAAAAAAAAAGAAAAAAAAAGGGAATAAAGATAATATAATAATAATAATTGGGTATGGTAGATAAAATAAAAGTAATTTTCTTGTATGTGCTAAAATATGTAATTTATTATAATAATTACTATGTAATTATATTAAATATTGGTCAAAATATAAATTAATCTTATTATTATTCTCAAATTAATTCCTTAACGATAGATATGAATCTCGCGGTGAATCAGAAAACAATGCTGGGGGGGATTCGAATCGCCACGTGTTCCGGCAATGGTGGACTCATCTCACTATAATAGGTGAGAAAGTTGCTCAATCTGTGGAGAGAGAATAGAAACAGAAGAAAAGGAGAAGAAAGAAGAAAGTAAAGAAAAGGGGGAAGGGGACGAGGTGGGAGCAGGTACGAAATTAACGTTGGGTTAGTGAGTATAGGCTAAGGTCACTATTAAGGTGAGTTATTATTAATACCTTATTTACCAAAATGTATTTTATTTATGTTTTGACTTACCCAAAATCTATTTATACAATTTATTTTTATTAATAACTTAATAAAATAGTTATGTTTATAAGATTTCAGTTACGTGGTTTTATTCTGAACCTATTTGCTAAAAGGAAACTCTGGATAACTGTTTGTTTTATTTTAAAGAAATTTTTGCTATACCTTAGTGTGAAAATATGTTTGTGAAATACCACCACGAAGTCCCATGCCTTGGGGGACTTAAATAACCATTGGCTCTGTGTACCACTTGTGGCCCAGTGTTTTCATGAATCCATGACCATGTAGTGCTAGTCACTTAGTGATGTACCGTGGTTATAGTGATTATTTCAGTTTCTGGCACTTAATTAAATTATGTATTCAATTCAACTCATTTATAATGTTTTTAGCTTAAATAAATATCCATGGCTATTTTGTGCCCTCATAGTATAATATTTCTCACTCTGCTATGTGCTTATAGCTGTTACCCCTTTCAGGTGACGAGGTTTAGCGGGATCAAAATGGAAAATGAATCGCTACGTTATTTTTTTTTATTTTTTTATTTCTGTCTTCTATTATTAAACTCTTGTAATACAATGAAGCTCCAATGACTATGTTTTATTACTTTTTAAATAAACAGTTGGTACCCAGTTACTTATTTTAATTTATTTAATTTATCCGTTTGCGCTGTAACTATAGAATTATCCGAATTACCTTATTTTATTTTATTTATCTTGTTACGACATTAAACCTTTGGGTACCGGGTTTGGGTCGTGACAAAAGTGGTATCAGAGCAATGGTTCTTTTAAAAAAATATAATTATTAAAAGTTTAGGGGTCAAAATATAAATAATAATAATATAGATAATATAAATAATAATAATAATGGGTGTGGAAGTAAAATAAATAATTAATTTTATGTTGGTAAATAATAAAGTGTAATTTAATTAAAAAAAATAAAGAGATAAATAAAATAAATAAATAAATGAATAAAAAAAATAATAAAAAAAATGTATTAAACTTGCATTATTATATGTCTAATGCATATAAGTCATGTTATATATATGTCTAGGCTAAGTTTTCTTGTGTTGTAGGACATGGCAAACCTATTGGAGCTATTCTGGTACGAGCCCCTAGAAGCTTATCTCCTCCCAAACCAGTTAGAGGGCTGGGGTGACTCAGTGAGTCTGGTCAGGCAAGCCCATCCAACACTTGACCATCTCATGGAAAGATCCGTTTACTTACAGGCTGACCCCGATGAGGACTTATTATTCTGGAGACTTAGCCGAGATAGCACCCGCGAAAGGTACATAGGACCAACCCACGTTGTTGGTCTTGCTCCAGATATAGAACCACCACATTTTCTGGTCGCACCTCTACCCGTAGGCTTTGCAGAGAGGAGGGGACCTGCATATCCTAGTAGCCACCTTCGCACCACGACACCACCTCCCCAGCACATTGTCTATACCCCAGCTGTGGACTTTACCGACGGTGCATCATACCTGGAGACACCGATACGGATTACTGGACGGGAATTCTGGGGTTATGATCACGGTGCTCCTGTTTACGTGGTTCAGATAGTATGGAGCTGCTTCGGAGTTGAGCTTAGTGGGTGGGAGTTTGAGACCAGCATGCAAAGTGAGTTTCCGGAGTTGTTTCATGGACCAGTTTTCCGAGGCCAGTTTCCCTGATGGCCTGATGGATCATTTTAGATATCTGACCGGAAGACCCTTTTTGTGAGCTGACCATGAGTAGCCTAATCCTTTTGTATTAGTAAGATTAGACATTGATTGTGACCGCCAGACTGACACCTTATATATGGTAACAATGATGTATCTGGTATTAATGTGATGTATATGTGGTAATGTTAACAGGATGATACGGTGGTGATATTATAGCAAAATTAATATGATATATACAAATGTGGTAACAATAGAACTAATATGTTACATATGACGTTATATCAAAAATTGTTTCAATATGATATCACACTTACATCATTTTACCTTGTAGTAATGGCCAACGAAGGAAACGAAAACGGATCATCAGTCAGCGGTACCATCCCAACAGAACAGAACATGGAAAGGGCAGTCACCAACTTTTTACAGGCCTTGCAAAACAGCATGACCAATGGGACAGTAGAAAGACAAGAAGGATTAACTACGATCAAACAATTTCAAGATCTGAAACCCACCACGTTTATCGGTAGTCCAAACCCATTAGTAGCAGAGGCTTGGGTCAGGGACATGGAGAAAATCTTCCGTGCACTACCTTGCACAGAAAGACAGAAGGTGACTTTTGCCACTTTCACCATCAAAGACGATGCACAGGAATGGTGGCTCCTTACCTTGGAAAAGGAAGATATTGTGACTTGGGCAAGGTTTTTAGAAGTATTCTATGAAAAGTACTTTCCAGATTCACTACGGGAACAAAAAGCGTCAGAATTCATACATTTAAGGCAAGAAACCATGACAGTGGCCGAATATGAAAGTAAGTTCACACAGCTGGCACGATTCGCGACATATGTCATTCCCACCGAAGCCCGAAAGGCCAGGAAATTTGAAGCAGGGTTGGATCCTGAAATTAAGGATAGACTGGAGGTTCTAAAACTACCAACCTACGCGGCGGTGGTAGATCGAGCGTACATTGCGGAAAAAGGAATTAAAGCTTTACGATCTGGAGAGCCAAGTCAGAGGAAGCGATTTTGGGAAAGAGATAACAGAAGACCCAATGTAGCACCTCCCAAAAGAATAAATACAAGCACAACCAGTTCAATCGGTCCAAGCAATCAAGGTCCTACAGACCTTAAAGGTGGCGTTATTCCAGCTTGCTCTACCTGTGGAAGGACTCATTGGGGACCATGCCGTCAAGATACGAGAGCATGCTTTAGATATGGCCAAGTTGGTCATTTATTGAGAAATTGTCCAAAGCTCGTCCGCCCCTTTGAACCAGTCCGAAAACCCGCAGTACCTGAAGGAGCGAGAAAATACCAAAAACGCCAAGGAAGAGCTTTTGCCTTGGTGCCTGGAAACCCATAAGTTACTGAAAATGTTGTGTCAGGTACACTCTCTATTTGTGGTCACTTAGCCCATGTTCTCTTTGACTCTGGTTCAACCCATTCTTTTGTTACACCACACTTTGCTACCAAGTTAACGCCAATGCCCGAACCCTTAGGATACATACTATCTGTGTCTTTTCCCTCTGGAAATTCCGCTCTTAGTACTGATGTATACAAATCTTGCACTGTATCCTTAAAAGGTGAAACCTTACACGTAGACTTGATACCCCTTGGCATTAGTACCTTTGATGTAATTTTAGGAATGGATTGGCTAGCTGCTAATCGTGCCTCTATCGATTGTAAAGCCAAAAAGGTGTTCCTCAAGTCACCAAACCAACTCGAGCTTGTCTTCGAAGGAACTAGGGCCTCTCCCCCTCCCTGTATTATATCTTTCATAACAGCCCAACGACTGCTAAGAAAGGGTTGTTGTGGTTGTATCTGTTACGTGATTGATACTCAACAAGAGACCCCCACACTTGATGCGATCCCCGTAGTTCGAGAATTTCCGGACATGTTTCCTGAAGACCTGCCT